AGCAAACTCAACGATATCTGATAACTGAAAACACAGTCTATCTAACTTGCTGTCCCAGTTAACACCTAAAACCTTCTTACCCGCATTATCAAAACTACTTGTTGCGGCCCCTAATGAATACTCAGAAAATGTTTGGTCATCTTCACCGGTGACCACGCCCTGCTCCACCGCAGGTGTCTCACCTGAGTCCTCTGACTTTCGAATTTCGTCTAACACATTCTTATCGTTAGAGTCCCATTTACGCAAATTAAAACCTCCCTTTAACATAATAGATTTAGCCTTTTCGTATATTTCAAGGGCTTCATGTGGTTGTTGAGCTCCACAAGATAAATCGTCAGCATACAACATGTTGAGAATCTCGACCACCTTAGGACTCTCCGATTTAAATTGCAAAACATGATGTTTAATGACTTGGCCTAGGATTGATGGCGAGCAATTAAGACCAAAACAAAGCCGTCGATATCGAAAACAACGTATTGTTGGGTTATTTCGAGTCACATCATCATACCATAAGAATCGTAGTGCGTCACGATCCTCCTCATTAATTTCGATTTGGAGGAATGCCTTCTCTATGTCCGCTGTCAAAACTATTGGCTTCGTGCGAAATCGTATTAAGGTGTTAAAAAGATGCGGCATAGAATTCTCCCCTGTTTCAAGACAATCATTTAGAGACAAATTTTCTTGTGAATTTTTCGCGGAACCGTCAAAAACTATACGCAGTTTAGTTGTCTCTCTATCATTTCTTATAACACCAAAGTGACAAAGAAAATGCGACCCTTGTTTATCAATATTTTCTTGAGAAACCTCTTCAATAATACCATCAGAAAGTTGCTGCTGAAAAATTTCATCATATTGTTTCAAAAGATCGGGCTTAGTTTTAAGTTTACTGAACAATGATTCAAGCCGTTTCTTACTCATATCATAATTTGAAGGTAGGCTACGATACAAATCATCTTTAAATAGAAGTCTTACCATGTAGCGACCATCCTTGAAGTTGATATCCACCCCTCCATCGTCGGTCTTCTTGTCTTCAGGATTCTCGGTTTCATAAAGACCCGCGGATTCGTGCTTCCAAAATTTCGTCAGCGATTCGACGATTTCTCTGCTATCATCTGTAATTTCGTCTCTCGAAGGTAAAACATCAACAATTAAATTCATCACATTATTTAAAGAGCTTTTATCACCTTCATTACAAACAACAGGTCCACAAAGCAACCAACCGAGTTTGCTACTTATTGCAACAAGGCCATTGCCGCCCTTTCTTACTTCGCCTTGCACTATGCGATAATAATAATCTACACCAATGACTAATTCTATGCGCTTTTCGCAAGTCGCATAACTATCGGCGAGTTGCAAACCTTGCAAATGTGGATAGCAACTTACATCTATTGGTGTACTTAATGGCAAACAAAGATGGGGGGAACTTAATACGGTTAACGGCAATATTTCATCTCCTACTTCTAGATTTACCGTTACCCTATCACAACTTTTCTTCTCATATTTATTTGAACCGAAAGTGTTCAGGTATACGGTCTCTGTTTTCTCGACCTTCAACCCCAGCTTCTTCACCGTTTCTTCTGAAATGTAGCTTCTCTGACTGCCTGAGTCAAACAGGATGTTCACCAGCTGTTTCTCGCTCCTATCCGCACCAAAGCCATACGTCTGTGCTGTCTGTAGAAGAACATTTTTTCTCTCATCTGACGCGGAATTGACCGTCGTTTGCAGTGCAGGTACCCCTCGCTTCTCTTCCATAACTAGGTCTTCGTGCAATGCTGAATTGTGTTTACTTTTACAGTGAAAGCACTTCGGTGGACTTCTGCATGTTTTCGCTCGATGACCAATCCTCAAACAATTGAAACAACGATTTCCTTCAATCAATTTTGATTTTCTTTCTTCGATGCTTGTAACTACCTTACACTTTTCTGCATAGTGTTCCCCTTGACAAAAATAACACTGCAGCTTTCGTTCCCTTTTTCCATCTTTGATAACTGCGAAGGCTCTCGTTGTTCCTCGATATTCTGTAAGGCTTGTTCTCTCAGATTTTCGAGTGGTCTTTGTGTCAAGTTTTCGGCTTATCTCTCTTGCCTCAATTTCTTTCCTTATGATGTCCAAAATCTCGTCTATTCGCCAAATTTGCTCTGATGTCTTTCGAGCCACTTGCAAGGTAATTTCTGCCGGCATTCTTGACATTATCACGGGCACTAAAAAACTGCCATATCGTTCCGATGAAATGCCTAACGTCTCCAGTCCGCGGACGTGCACATTGATATTGTCGTATATCGCTCGTATCTGTGACACAGTTTCATTTGGACAACTTTGCAAATTTAACAGCGCCTGCATGTGAGCGCTAATTATTTGCTGTGGATTTCCAAATCTTGTCTGCAAAATGTTTATAGCATGCTCATAGTTCTCTTCGGTAATTGCCAGCCCCTCCAAGGCTTTAAATGCAGTTCCTTCAAGTGATCGCATTAGATAGTTCATTTTGTGAACCGCCGATATCTGTTCATTTTCATGCACAGCACACTGAAAGCTTTGCCAAAAGGCTTGATACTTCGTCACATCGCCAGAAAAATTAGGCAAATTAATTTTAGGCAGCTTTACACCAATATTTTCCGAACGTGAGGAGCTACCACTCCTATTCAGCTGTCCATTTGCTGGTGCGAAGGGCGTTGCATCGGTCGTCAATTCATTTCGAATAGCGGGTGTCGGTGTAGAAACTCCAGTCGGTTCAGCAAGTCCGTGTAAAGCTCCAACAACAGTACCCCTTTTGCAAGCCCCAATTCTCGATATAATTTCCTCGATCTTCACATCAATCTCGGCTGATTCTTCGATTTCTTTCTCTATTTCGTCAATATGACATTTTGCCAAAATTTCATCGTTCAAGTTACACAACAGCCTCCTTTTCTGCTGAAGAACAGACAAAATCGAATCCAGCTTCGCTAGGATTTCCGTGGTAAGGGCATCACCATGATTTCGTATTATCAAAGTCGCTTCTCGCTCGAACCTCGTAATTACTGCCCTGTTTCCACCTCGAGTTCTCTTCAGTCTCTCCATATTTCCGTTCTCGATTCTTCCTGCTTCCGCGCGACGTTCAACTTCGTCTTCCTGCGTGGACATTTCGTTTCTTTCCAACTCGCTTAAATCTCACAATTCAGCTCGAAATATTTTCCTTATACCCCAGCCCCACGTTGGGCGCCAATTGTTGTAAAGTCTAGATCGGAGCATAGAGAAATTCCATTTGTGAGATTATGTATGTGATTTTCTTAACAAAATTGTGCTTACTACATACTCAGCCACAATAGCCAACTAACTAACTTTAAGGTCATGTGCCGAAGCGATTTAGCACGAAAGACATGTCAACGCAGTGGTCGACGGGAGAAAGACTGGGCACCACCCTATTCCCAGGACTCGATCGCTCCAACACGAGTGATTTTACCTTACTCGATAACAATAGAGTTAGACATCCAGCGAATTCGTTGCTTATATATCATTGAACAGAATCAAATAACCGATTAACGATGTCATAGGCCTCTTTCAAAACTTTTCGGAGCCTGACGAAGTCTGTTTTTGTAAGCGAACAGGTCCTGTTTACAAACGGGTTACACTGCATTTGAATAACTCATAAGACATAAAAGACTTGCTCCCTTTGTGCCCCTATTAATATCGCCTGGCTATTTAGGGCAGGGGTAGAGTTTGGATTCTCGATTACCCATGACCGTGGTAACTGGAGGTGGATGTGGGGAATTGTGACACCCCAAACCCCCTGACCCCTATCTAGTCCATTATTTTTCCTCTGGTCATTTGTACGTCTGACAACCTTATTCGGCTTATTGTCTTGAGTGCACATTTACACCTATAGATCTCGTTCTTGTTGATATTTATACCATCCAATTCCTGAAACTTGTTTTTTTACCTTTGACTTTTACCCAATGACTTTGAATCTCCTTTTAGGCACCTTCGCCTTAAAATGGTACCGTCTATTCCTAAGTACCAACATTTTCCATTTGATCGAAAGGCTTTCTGTTACAAAAGTACGGAACATAATACTACTGTATAAGAAGGTATAAGAAACAAAATTAATGCCGTAATTTATTTTCACCCAAAGTTGATCATGTCAAGAATGTGGCAATGAATATAATGTTTTATTTAACGTCAGCAGTTGACCTGCTTCCCAGAAAACAGGTGCCGGTTGAAATCCCTGCCGCTTTACATCGTCTATTTGTGCAGGGAGAATTGCTGGGTCACGCATCATAATGGAGTTACTAGGATGCGAGAATGACCCAGTACACAAGGTCAAGCGATCTCCATAACACCTTTCCCATGCGTGTTAATGGAGACTTTCTCTATGAGATTACCAAACAAATATTAGGAAATAGCTTCTTGCCATTATCCAAAATCATATTCTCTCTTTTCATCTTTGCTTGCGCTGTCAAAAAATGCGAATGTGTTGCTGTAGCCATCCATGACTAAATTTTCTACAGGTTTGACGTAATTCGGTCCTGTCGTTTACAGCAATTTTATAAAAACACAAGCCTCAAAATTTATCACAAGTAAAGTTAAGAACAAGCAGAGGCTAAGCTACTGTAAAATGTTATTTTGAACGATGTATCATCTCAAAAGTGAGGAGTTTTTTGCCAACTATGGGTGCTTTTTCTGGGAATTTTTAAACTTGTCGGCAAGTAAAGGATGTCTCGCTCACTTTGTTGGCAAATGAGGCCTAAACCCCTCTCTAGAGTGAATCCACTTGCACTTTTTAGATTCTAATAATTTTAAGAATAAACTAAGAACAATTCAGCATCAGATTTTCGAAAAAAATAAGAACAGCCAGCCTGAACTTCAATTTACTGGTTCTTAAAAAAAGACTACCACATTTCCATGACATTTTATTGTCAGATGTATAAAGACGTTTAACTGGGGGTGGGGGTGGGGGTAAATCACAGCACTGTTTGTCGCGGATTCTAGGCGAGTTTTAAACACACGTAACAATTGTTAATTTTTAGGCCCTGGAGGAGAAGGCTAAGGCAATATCCGGTGTTATGCAATGGCCGTACATCGCAGTTGCCAAATCTTTAGAAGTGATCCCACGAACACTCGTGCAGAACTGCGGCGGAAACACCATTCGAACACTGACTGCCTTACGTGTAAGTATCACAGACCAATGCTTTCATGTCGATTGTCTTTTTAAAGCCAAACACACCATTTACTTGCTCTCTTCATTTTCCATATATGTGGAAATGAAGGTTATTATTATTATGATGTTTTATTGATGACTCGTTAAAGTGGTGTGTAAACCCTTAAAAGTCATCAGTCGCATCATTTGACTTTGATGGGGGGGGGGTAACTCCAAGAAAGGGGGGTTTGCGTTAGCCTTTAACTGATAGGTGGTCCATTTTTCCAGTTTTTCAGATTTCCTTCAGTTACATGGTTATTTTTCTTATAAATCTACAAATAAGCCCTTTATTGCATTGTAATCTTATCCAGCTTGACCACTTTCCTTGCCATTTAATTACGACCCTCCGCATTTTAATCACAGCATCATGGTTACAAATTAAGAAAACCACTGTTTGCAAAACCATTTCACCAAAAGATTTCTCCAACTTTATTGACCTCTGAAAGCTCTCAGCAAAGAAGATTATCGATTTGATATTTCTTTCTTATTGAAAACAAAAGAAAAACGTCCTTCCTTCCACATAAGATTATACCATAAATCAACTTAATTAAACGACCCTATGCTAGCCCATAGGTTTTCTGCTTCTCTGTATAAACTTTCATTTTTTACCGTTAGTCTACAATGCAAATTTTCACGGTCTTTTCTTGTATTGAACCCCGTAAGCATTGCAGTTGACTTGTGCAAACCCCTAACAATCCATTTCATTTTTGCTAACAAAATTAGATTTAGAGAAAGAAAAGGGACAAATTACGGTTGGGCCAACGTGTATTCACATACAATGCGTTTTTATGTTTTAAGAAATAGGCTACTGTCGTTTTATCTGCAGACCAATGAGAAGTACAATAGCTTTTAAACTACTTGGGTAACTTCCTTGCATTACGCACCCTTCTATAAAATGTTTCCTTGTTTTGGCTGTCCCAACCTAAAATAGCTTTTGTTGATGTTTTTTAGTTTTGAACTAGAACTAATGAACCAGAAGTTGTTTTGTATTCCGCGCTGTCAAATGTAGGTGGAACCAAAACGTCGTTCCTAAGACTCTTTGATCTCTGCCATTTTGATGTTTTGTAGGCACCGAAATGGACAATTTTGTAGGAAAAGGAAATGTGTTCTTGCGGATTTTTCGGCCTGTAGCTCCCCATTTCTCGGTGATAACTGTGAAAGGTTAAGGAAATCACCTATTTGTCACGGCTTTTTTCAATAAGAGGAGAGCTTAAGTTTTTTATCTGTTATCAAAAACTGTCCTAGTTCCTGCAGAAGCGTGGATCTACTATTTCCATAAATTATCGGTCTGTTGAAAGCTGAGTATTTCAGGAGAAAGGCAAGTTTCAATGTCTAGGGAATTTGAAAAAGTCTTTTCAATGTCTAGGGAATTTGGAAACGTCTTTTCAATGTCTAGGGAATTTGGGAACGTCTTTTCAATGTCTAGGGAATTTGGGAACGTCTTTTCAATGTCTAGCGAATTTTAAAACGTCTTTTCAATGTCTAGGAAATTTGAAAACGACTTTTCAATGTCTAGGGAATTTGGGAACGTCTTTTCAATGTCTAGCGAATTTTAAAACGTCTTTTCAATGTCTAGGAAATTTGAAAACGACTTTTCAATGTCTAGGGAATTTGGGAACGTCTTTTCAATGTCTAGCGAATTTTAAAACGTCTTTTCAATGTCTAGGAAATTTGAAAACGACTTTTCAATGTCTAGGGAATTATGAAACGTCTTTTCAATGTCTAGGGAATTTGGAAACGTCTTTTCAATGATCGTAAAAATGTAAATGTTGAAGAACAATTTTTGAAGGTAAACTCAGAAAAATGGCGTTTGCTAATGTCGTTTTTTAATAAACTTTTAAGTTTTATGTAATGTATTATCAAACAATATAGTAAACTAAAATTTAATGCTATTTAGTATGATTAATTGAATATAATATTATGTAATATAATATAATTTGATAAAATATAATATAATCAAGTATAATGTAAAAAATATGATGTGATGTGCCCATAATACGATATTGTATAATAATTTTTAGTATGATGTGGTGAATTATAATAGAAAGCGATGTATTATAATTTGTAATATATACATTGCGTATTATAATATACTTTAAAGAGGAATATGATGTAATATTGTGCAACAAGTTTCTTATCAACCAGTATTTTGTAAATAAAGGATTCATTGCAAATATATTTAAAAAACATTCCAGGAAGCTTCCTTGCAACTTTTTGAGAAGTTAACAAAACCTTACTTCTTAGTTGAGCAAGCAAAGAAAGTGTGATATTTCGATGTGTTAACGTCCGGTTTTGCAATATCTGATTGTGTAGAGATAATTTTTTTGTTCAGTATACCCAATGCAAAAAATCTTGTTGCATTAGCTTCAATTCTTATAATTTTCATTAAATAAATTTAGTGTAGAGAGGAATTAAATATGATTTGACTTCGATGTTCTGTGAGTTGAATATACGTTGCCCGAGGAAGGTAGGTTTTGGTCTAGCCTCGATGTAACAAGACCTCGTCTAAGTGCTATTTATCCATTCAAACGGGTAACATTGACTTTATTTTAAATAGAAAGTATTATGGTTTTCAGTACCATTAAAATGCTTTTAAATTCCATGTTCAGCATTGACTGTTTTCCTTGCCTGGAGATGTAAGTTAGATTAGGCCAAATCTCCTTCTTGCCGTCAGGTTGTGTAGATTTGAACTCCCAATTTCAGCCTTTCAGTTCGGCCTTTTAGACATAAAAAACATGCCGTTTGTTTTAAGGGTAGACCCTTCTTTTTTGCCAGGCCAAGCACGCGGAAACAGGCAATTCATGCTGGGGAATTGACGGAGAAAAGGGAGCCATTGCTGATATGAAGGAGTTAGGAATATGGGATTGTTTCGCTGTGAAAGTGCAGACAATCAAAACTGCCATGGAGGTATGTTTTTATTATGCATTGCTGGAATTTTGCAACTGTCGTTTCTTTTCAGGAGCAATTTATTTGACCCGGTTTTCATTTGAAGCCGGTGTTCATTACTGCGGATATTGTTTTTGACCCTGATCGTTTCCCAATCCTTGCTTATTTCAAACCGACCGTTATTCGGATCTGTCAGGTATTTCACACTACTGTCCTAAAGAACTTGCAAAGATTCATTCAACAATATACCCTAGAGGAACTTTTTAAAATCTTCCCCTAGCCAATGTTGATTTGCCCTAAAGACTTCCTTCTTCGTTTACAAACAGCACTCACGTTTCATTCCAAAAAGTGCTTAAAGGTATCAAAAGACGAAAAGTGATTAAGGGTATCTGATACTGAAAAGAGATACATCTTTGTAGGGATCTTTAAGCTTTGAGAATATTTAGCCGTAGTTCTGTCTGGAAAACACATCCCACACACTGGATATAAGGTTTCATATTTGCAACAGGATCACTTTAACATTCTCCAGGATCTCTAAAATGATCTGCTAAGCCTTTTGCTGACGTAGAAATGAGAGTAATTTCAAGGCTTTGGATAACCAGCCATTTCTGCCTGCTAAACCAAACCATGAGATTATGGTTCTTGTTCAAAGTCCACCAGGCTTATGAGGGTGAATATCGATCCATAGTAGAAAGTGCATGCGGAAATTAAAACCATGGATTTTAGTTACGTTTTTGGCAACGTCCGAGCGTCCTGGGGGAGAGATCGAGCTCCTTAAGGATAGATGAAACGACGATTCCAGTTAAGGATACTAAATATTGAAACAAAATACCCATCAATATAAATATCAATTGAAGTACTTGGTAATCGATAATTGGCAGAGCCCGGTCGTCCTTCCATCTAGCAGTTTTGGAGTCGATCTACATAAAAACGAAAAAGCTGCCATTGTGTAGACAGAAGGAGTTCGTTTTCTCTCTTGGACTCCATTGGTAATTTTTCTCTAGGCTCGCGGCACTGATTGGTCAACCATACCGGTCTTGTGCTTGCGTTTTTCTGATTGGCCTATTTCGATCCACAACTGGGTATATATTTTCCATCGTGTTCTTTCGGAACCTTATTCTGACGTTTTATGCTCTGAGGAGTGTCAGACGAATAAAGCTTTTTAGTATGTCGTAAAAAGTTTGCTTTTTTCAAAGCCATTTTCAAATTCTGTACTGCAAAAAAATTGTTCATACTTTGTAATAATTAAAAGTGAACAGTTATATCTAGTTTCGGATAGCAGATAAATTTATTGAGAAGGATGCCTTTGATTGGTTTGTTTTTAACCAATCAGCAGCCACTAGCGCTTCAAATAATTAGGAGCAATTTAATGTATGCTATTAATAGTCTTTTATTTATTAGTTCGCACTAGTACAAAACGAATTAGGTTGAAACAAAGGTTTTGATGGGTCCTGGCGAGGGGCAAATTACTCTAAGAAAATCTCGTACACCTTTTGTGAAAATCCTATTGTTTTTTCTGAAAATCCTCAGAAATCCTTCTGTTTTAGGCAAAATCTCATACGCTATTTGCAAGAGTGAATCGCCCCTCGGGTCCTTGTTTCTCTTTTGAATCAAAGAAACCCCAAAAAGCACATTATCTTACCCTAATTCCCCCTCAAACTAAAACTAAACCCCTCATAATCAATAACCACATTGCTTTGAAGTTATCCTCCCTCCCCACTTAGACATTTAAGGCAGGGCTATACCTGCTGTTACATCCAATCTGTTTAACGACTTTTGGTGCTTTTTAAATGAAGTAACTCTCCTTGCAATTAATTCTTGTAGACATCTATGCTGTTGCTGCGCATCGATGATATCGTGTCCGGTTCCAAGAAGGCTGGTGGAAAGGAGGGCACAGGGAGCGGTGCTGCACCAACTGAAGAATCGAAGGCAGATGACTAAAAAAAGACCGATGATGCAAAAACACGACCCGCGTTTCTTGAAATAGGAACCGGATTTTGATAGATACCGGCTACGGACGGTTCAACTAAGGTTGTCAGAGGTAGAAGTGCTTGTTTTGCCTTAAAAAGCAGGTTGGTGATTTCAGCCATCGCCAAAAGAACAATATTTTTTTCTGAACTATTTCTAAGTTCGTTGGTTATGCAGAAGATTTTCTTTATGATTGCCTAGGTTTTGTCAATACCGGCAGTGGCTTGTTGCAGTATTTGCCTCTAATTTCCCGATCTTGTTCTTTTTATGCTGTCATCTTTTTCATCCAGTTTCTTTCAACCAAATTATTAAATATTACCCAAGCGTACAAATTTCTGACTTGTTAGGTAAAACAACACCAAAAGCGTTAGTGATTGAAATATATATTTAAACATGGTATCCACATCTAGCACTTCGATCTTTGTTTGATAGCCTTAGAACTGAAAGGATCTTCGTCACTTTGTATCACAACAAAAGCTCTTATCGTCGTATTGTGGCCTACTGTTCTTAATGTTAACAGAAGAAATCTGATATCTTCATTTCGTTCTTCGTTGCAACTTGTTAAAAAATGAACTCATTATCGGCCATAAATTTCCTTTTATTTTCTGTCTTCTGGAAGTAGCAAGAATTGATTGCTGAAAATCATCCTTTCTTTGGACTGATTTCTTATTAAGCACAATATCACCTTATATACATGGATACAGCTGATCTAAACAATGAAAAGATGAAAGAGACAATGCCTCCGACATTTAACATTAACAACCTCCCCCCATTAAGACGGGGAGATACCCCCCCCCCCCATTTGAAGAGGAGACACCCCCTAAGTAGATGGGTTTGGGTTAAAGGGTAAGCCACGAGGATAAATCATCCCCTCACAGCCATTAAAAAGAAATGTTACAGATTCGCTTCATCCTCGAGATTTCGTCGTCGATTATTTGTCGCAACCCAAACGCTAGTCTAAGGCCTAATTAATACAACATACGAAACACTGGTTTTTAAAATCTATTTGGATTTGAACTCAGTTTTCAGGTATCCACCAAAAGAAATTGTATCCTTCATTTTAACCACAATTTTTCTTTGTAGACGGCTTCCATGGTGGTTTTTTTGTTCTCTTGTTACTAAAATGCAACAAATTGACCCAAATATCAAGTCTCCCATTCCTTTAATTCCTATTTATAAATACTTCTATGAAATTATTAAACCGTTTGCCTTGATAAGATGAAAATCTTCGTTTCTTAACCAGGGTTTCCAACAAGCGATCCACCTAACCAAAAGTTTTGTTGGAAACCGTGTCTCGTAACTAAGCCAGTCCCTTGATGACGTCATGATTGAGAAAATATTACGGACTACCGTAAATCCTCGGATTAGCCCCCTGGGGGCTTATCTATTTTTTATATTTTTGGATGGGGGCCTTTTCGAAGGGGAGGGGGTTTATACGAGGGGGAACTTATAAAATTGTTGTAGACATTAAGAAGACATTATTAAAAGACCTAGTTTATTTTAGTAGGAATTTCTTTATGAGCATTTAATTAATTACTACCAAAAGTATGAATTTGTTGTGGCAATTCAATAAAACGCCATATGCAACCTCAGATGGCAAATATCATCAAATGGAGGGGTCAATTCGAGAATTTACAGTAGCAGTGGGGGCTTATACGAGGTAGGGGGGCTTATTGACAATTTGTAGTTCTAGGGTGGGGGCTTATTCGAGGGGGGGGGCTTTTTCGAGGTTTAGGGGCCAATTCGAGGATTTACAGTGTTCAAATTTTTAATTTCATTATAACGGAAAATGTTTAACAAACCTTTTCAAGACCCTCTCGGTTTGGGGCTGGGGGAAACCTGCCCCTCTATATTGACTGGCCTATCCCCTATAGACCGGCCCCTACCAGAACCGACCCTTCATGGCTCTTTCCTGAACAGAGGGATTTCCTTTTGAAATCCAATCCTTCAAATAATTGCGAATGGAAAATCCAGTAACGTTAAACTTTGCTTGCTCAGTGTTGGATTTCTGGAGACTGAGGACCGCCCAGTTGGACCGCTTTTAATTTTTTGGGCCAACGTAAGAGCATTTCTAATTCCTTTGTCTGGATCTTTTGCTAACGTGTTTGGCATACACTCTGGTAGATAAGCTATTGATCAATAGTATGTCTCTTAATTCACTAGGGAGGTTTCAGGTGAGGAGAAAAGCTCTTGGGGCAGTTATAAAAGCCTTACCGCAATAACGCAAGTCTTGCTTTCATACTCGATTTAAATCCCTAGGTGTAATCCCCCTTGAATTATCCCCCTCGGGACCATATTCCCATGTTTTCCCGGTTTTAGCGTCGATTGTATTTCACACAAACGAAACAAAAAATATTTCGGTACTCAGAACATGGGCCTATTTCATTTCTACGCTGAAGGCTTTTCGCAATACAATGAGCTTAGAGGATTTACAACCAAGTATACGCACGAGGTAAAGCTTAATCTTTAAATTTTATCTTCTGCGTAATTGTAAAATCTTTGATAACTTTATTTGGGTGTTTGAAACTTTGGAGCAGCTTAGAAATATATCTTAAGAGAAGCGTTTAGCTATGGCCTAGCTATCGGGAACAAATGGATTAGGTACTCGGATGTCCTACGAATTAGCTCTCCTTCAAAATTGGATTTCTTTTGCATGTACCAGTAAAGCCCTATCTGTTCCATGTTTTGTTGTAAACAGATTTAAGCAGGTCAACTCATTTGCCTGAATTTATTTTAACCAGATATGCTTCTAAAGATGCTAATTCGATAAATTCGTTACTTTCATCTGGGCAACTTTACCTACTTAAAACCGACCCCTTGTTCTTTCATTGCTTTCTGAAATACTTCAAGGACTGTAACCTCACATTCACTCGAATCATTTGCTATCGTTCTATAATTTCCACATTATACTTGACCCCTGAAGTTCACTTGCCTGTGGAAACCATTTGTCCAATTATGGAATACTCAAATAACAAAATTAGGTTTTGTTAAGTGTGCTTTAGTGACAAAGCCAATGAATTTATTTAATTTGCCCTCTCCACCAGTTCTCATACAAGAACAGCCGACTTTCATTAAATCCAAACCTAAATCTTTATAGCAAATTCCTGGCTTCTATATCACATATGACAAATCAGGGAGACTGCTAACCATGTGACTCATTTCTTATTAATACAGAATATTGAAAACTTGAAAAGTCTTAAGGCCTTTTTCGTGCAATTCGCGTCGTTGAATCAAGTCAATTTTCTGGCCTAAGATTTGTAAATGAGTTTTCACTTGCACTTCTGTGATTGGATGAAGCAGATTTTGATTGTCGTTTATTGTGCGGTTACCTGTTAGAAATCGTGACTAGAGAAAGACATGTTACACAAGACTGATCTTTCTTTGAAATGATAGCATCATTTCTTTTGAGTTCGCGGAGAGAAACTTCAGGTGTTCCTCAAGGATCCGTGTCTGGGCTTGCTTCTCTTTTTCAATACCTATATAAATGACCAACTAATGACCGGATGAATATCAGCTGTGCCAAATATATTTATATTGATCAAACCCTAAGCCAACGTGCATGTTCTCCGGCACTGGATGACAAAAAGCTCGTAAACCCTAAATTAACCCTCCCCACTAAAAGATCGGCGTTCTTTTTTAGTTGTTGATATAATAATTCCTTCTCCTTTTCCTGTGGTTAATCGCTCTATCAATTCATAACTTTAACAGGGACAGTAAATCTTAACAGTGGAACAAAATTTCTAGAATGCAAGCCACGTTTCTAATGATCAAAAGGGCTAAAGCATCAAATCCATATCAACAAAAGAATTTCATGAAACGTGACACGAGGGACAGCAAATATTGCGACACAAAGAGACATTGTTGAATAGAAGAGAACTGTTTTTTCTCGAGGTACCACATCCTGATATTTTTCATTTAAACTGCGTTTACATTAAGAAAAGACTGCGTTGTTAATCTCTGCTTATAGCTATCAAAGAACGGTAAAAAACGTCCACAGAACTAAAAATCATGCGTCTTCTGTTGATGGCCAAGTCTCACCTGGCATTTCTAAGAATAGTTTACCATGCACAGTGCCAACGGTGTGCACACAATTTTACGAATACGACAAACTGTCCCTCTCTCTAAAGTCTTTAGAAAACTATCAATTTAATCGAGAGGACAACTACTTCCTGTTAAAAGTTAAAAGCTACAGCGGGCAGGCATAGTTATAATAAAGAATCGGTGAGCTGATAATGTGAGGATGATTATATAAGTAAGCCCTTGTCAGAGGTGGGGGGGGTGGGGTATTTCAATGAGAAAGGGGCCTTTTGGTTCCTCACCCGCAAATCACTCTGGCGCTACTGTCCATGAAAGATTAATTTGCAATTAAATTCATTCAAATTATGTCATTGGGTGAATTTAAAAAACTGGGTTGTAATTGGGAGGGCCAAAATATAAAAACGCTTTAATTGGGTGATATTGTGTGTATGATTGGTCGATTTTAAATCAATACCCTGGTCAATTCTCATTAAATCGTGTATAAAAAACTAAACGTATGGTCAATATCCATGCAACTTTTTTGAGAAATTTTATTATTACTTTTCCAGCTAACGGATAATACATTCCCAGGGTAGGGTCTATTGGTGGTAATTCACCGGGACAGATGTTCAGCCCTAATATGTAAAAACGGTTTTACTTCCTGACAGTGTTAAACTCTACATTACCAAAAACTTTAAAAGCATACAAAACCCTGTAAAAGTCTATAGCCTGGAGCTCTGACCTGGAGCTCTGATGAATTTCCGAAAAATGGGAAACGAAAAAAAATATCAAAAAACACTATCGCGAAAAAGCACCATGCAATCAGGGGCTACGTTAAACCTATGTGAATGTTGGGCTTGCAGGACACAGTTGGCGGTAATGACAACAAAAGGTACTGAAGGTAACGAGTTTGGAACATATAAACATCTATTGGGGTAAACTTTGGAACAAAACTTCATCGTAACATTGACAGTGTTTTTATAACTGAACAATACATTAGTCAACGATTATTGGCCTTGCTAATCATAAAAATTGAAACACAAGAAATTCTTTGTGAGGACAGTCTTGTAAAAGTTGTTAAGCCTAATTCGCCGAGAACGATTTCAAAGTTAACAATGGAATATGATGGGATTTGTTCCACTTTTAAAACGCACATTAATTTTGTACTTTAATATCAAGCTGCAATTAATACCATCAAGGGATTTGCTACCCGTTATTAATGCCTGCTACAAAACCACGACAAGATATTTTGAAAAAAAACAGTTGATTGGCACTAAAGTATTCAAGTCCTAAATTTCAAAGGTCTGCAAGTTTCCGCTGTTTTTAGATATAAGATAAACCTTATTCTCTTGGAAGCTGCAATTCATAAAACGAATTGCTTTACTACAAATTGCTTCCAAAGAATTGCTTTACCCATTTCACGATAGATACCTGCAAGAATAGGGTAACAGATTATCTCTTCCTAATGCGATGCTGATACATCAGATACCTAATGCATCCCTGGGGACTGTTGAATTTATTTCATGTTTGGTTGAAAAATATTTACCAATTTATCCAATGTATTTCTTGGATTTGAAGGAGTCATTTTGGGTTCAACAGAAAGCATTTTAGAAATGAAACCCACCCAGACATTAAACAGATTAGGCTAATTCACCTCCTTAACTTATCTCTGCCAACGACGTTCCAGACTTGACAAACACCGTCAAATCATGAAAAATAATGTTTATCAGGGCTTGTTCGATCGTGCAACAGAATAGAAATGTCATTTCTATTCTGTGATCGTGCGGACTTAGGGATATATGGACGATGGACGTTTCATGGTGGGTGTTGAAATAAAGCGTAGAAAAGGTGAAGAGTAGTTTGTGCAGTGGCCGTATGGGTCCGTTTGCTGCCGATTTGGAAGAATGCTCAACGTGTCTCTTTATCAAAATAAAAAAACATACACCTTTGACGTATTCATTTTCGCTTTCTGTCTGCGTACAGGGTTTAAACTTCTAAAGCAGAATACGGCAGACAGAAAACAAAAATCAATACCTTTAAGAATTTTGAAGAAAATCTCGTAAATAAGTTTTCTTCCATTCGTCCTGGATTATTCAACTGTCTCGCAAGCTTGCTTTGATGAAGTCGTAACCTCAAGTTGCTACTGCAAAACGTTAAAACTGCGGTTTTATCAAACGCTAGCAGCTTTACGCGATGAATACCACGCCAAGCAAAGAGTTTCGTGACTTCCACGAAGGCGTTCAAGAAGGTAGAAGATTTAAGAATCCGCAGGTTGATTATACCGACCCAACAGGCCATTGCACGTGCAGAGGTTTTGTTTAGAAACATATCTACTTTCCTATGCATGAATTAAGTTATCCACATCTATAAAATCTATATTTACATCACTAATAATAACGTATAACAGCCGTAAAGTGACAGTTCCAGAGCAAATCCAGTTTAGGCATCTGGAGCTGCCTCGTATTGATGGCGAGGGGGTGCGCAGGAAAAAGCCTCGCTCTGACTAATGTTTCATGTTTTCACATAACGTAAAATAAGGTACACCAAATAAAAGGTAAAACTTAAATTAGGATTGTAAATTATACACGTCTTTCACTGACTGGGTAAGAATCAAATCTTTTAGAGAATGACTTTTTTATCGATTACGGCTCTCATACGTTAGTCATCTATTTTATTTAAGAGACAACCATAAACTGAAAACGTGAAACGTACAATCAGATTCTAGAGTTCTCTCTCTCTCTCTCTACACTATAATGCCTTTATCGTCTTGGCCGACAGCAGCTCAAGGACTACCCTTGAAAGTATGTTTTCTAAAAATTTTACATTGATCATAGCGGCGCGGCCTCTCTAAAAGGCTTTACAACGATGTAAAAATCGACAAATCTACAACTTTTTGGTTAGGTAACACAGGCAAATAGATTGAGGTGTACACAGGTGACTGTCTTGAAATGATTGAACTTTATAAAACTGATTTATTCCTTTGAAGTAGGGTAGAAATGGAGCTTCATGACTCGCGATATTTCTGAAAATCTCATGTAAGCCATGCGGCATAGCCTGGCTCTATATGACGCAATGCGTTCTCAAGGCTCTGGCTAGCAGAACTAGGCCGGTTTCTGCAAACATGACTCTTTTAACAGTTATAAACAAAAACTATGCGCATAGCGAATGTAGCAATGTCATCCATTATAACAATGATTTCAATGCGACAATGACTTGACAGAGAAAGGCGTTTACACATAAACCAAACACTCCGATAGAGCACCCAGCCCAGTCTATGCTAATAAGGGCAAGTGACCTGTGCATGCAAATAATCTGCTGCTATGAAAAAGCAGATCTTTTGTTTCTGACCAACCTTGCGAAGCCTCTGTCCCATCACTGCCTCTCGCCTCTCTCTTTGAGACATTTACCACAGCAGCGAGGCGTTTTACCGCCAAACGTGCTAAACAGCTGTTCGCTGCATAGGCCATGTCTCGTCAAAAAACACTTACTGTAAACCTCTTAACCAAAACTGTGGCGTCTTGAAATAATAAGGATAACGGATTGTTTATAATCGTGACACGGGCAAGATAACGGAACGAACAAATCTGCACGTGAGACGGTGTGTCTACAAGCAGTCACAACAGGCAGAAAATTTAGGCCTTTGAAAGCTATCAGCGCCTCAATATCACGTGCCTTATAAACTTCATTTCAGCAAGAACAGCATTATCTAAGACATTGATTCTTGAAACTCAGCTAAGAAGCAGCCTCCGATCAATGGGATGAAATGTTAAAAAGTGATGATGACTAGGGTTTAATAAAGCAAAGCTTTGAGCGAAAGAAAGGCCATGGCTAGGCCAATGTTTCCGGGCCATGACAGCCAAACCCTGGCGCGAAAAGGACCCTCCGTCAAAAAAAGTAAATGAAAACATATTTGATTGGCTGCTAATCAAAACACCAGCTTACAAATATACTTTTTGTTTTGTTATTTTTCTGTACACAAGCGACATAGATATTTGTTAACGATTGGCCACTTGTTCAAATCATATTTCGTGCACAGCGTTAGACACGACATCAACTGGTCGACCTTTGCACTTTGAGATCCACGAACGCAACAAGCCTATGCTTTGAAAGTTGCATCCCAACACTAAAATCCCATAATCAAGACCGAAAATACCACCAGCATCGAAGCTTGTCACATTGAAAATGGTCGCGTAGGTTCAAGCACTATGGCTTGGGGTTATAGGGTACAGGTTAAAGGACTAGCAACTATATCAATCCACGCACATCTCATTTTCAATCTCCAATAACGAAATGTTCTCTTTATTATACAGAAAAACTGTTTTACTGTACCAAAATCGATAACTTAACGCCTGACAACCATAAATTCGACAGAGCAGTCAGCTAGCCATATAAATGAAATCGGGGTCTAAACATCAAACATACTTGCATAGGAGATTCTTTTGTCTCTCAGTCTTGCAGAATTTAAAGCAAAGATTTGTAAGCGTTCCAAGTCAAATTTTTAGGACTAATAGGTTCTTCCAACACCGCACTGAAGTTGCAGCTAATTCGTGGTAACAGAGAAATCATTTCAGCTTTTTTGCTTTGGCCTAGGTAGTCTTGGATTCGGTTATTACAAGAAAAAGAGTGGATGCTACATTCAAGCAATTTACTATTTCGCTGCCTAGAAAAAGTTTAAAAGTAGTAAAAAGTAGCAAGAAAGCAAGAAAGCAAGAAAGCCAGCAAGCAAGCAAGCAAGAAAGCAAGCAAGCAAGCAAGCAAGAAAGCAAGCAAGCAAGAAAGCAAGAAAGCCAGCAAGCAAGCAAGCAAGAAAGCAAGCAAGCAAGAAAGCAAGAAAGCAAGCAAGCAAGAAAGCAAGATTTATCTGTTAACACAAGTAGCTGAAATCTGAAGCTGACACAATTCCGCTTTTACGTGACAACGGCTTAAGTGCGAAAATGGCTCAAGCAATCAACAAGAAATGTCCATAAATACTGTTTTCAAGAGTCATGTTCGCAGTCATATTTTGTGTTCAAGTTACCAGCCATATTTAAATGAAACAGTTGACGCCTCAACAAAAAACCCTCAACAATATTGTATACTTCAAGTACTTCAGAGGTCGGGCAGGGTTACTTTGTCATTAGTCACCTGTGTACACTCATCTTTCAGGGCCATCAGAAAAAGTGACACGGGGGCGGGGGTAGGCTAAGAAGTTATTGCCCATTAATGAAACTAGGTAATAGCTTGGTAACAGAGCATTTCTATAAACCTACTGACCCCCAGCCCCCGCCTACGACAGCCCCGGCCTTAGTTTTATTAAAGCATTGATTTATCATAAAACCCAAACAAAGTCCCCTGGGACCGTTCAATGGGTCCGATCTATTGAATTAGGTAAAGTTTCCTCCTACTTGAAAGCATGCTATCGGTCTTCGTTGAGGATCTGTGCTGTCGCTAGACATTCCTGCGTCATCGTACACAACAGGCCTTCTAAGCTTCTTGCACTAAGGCCTGTTTCCAACGTACGTGGTCCAATTTGAGGTGGATGTGCCAGAGAGAAGCATGTCCCGTATTAGGGTTTCTATGGGGGTCTTTCCCACCAGCCTGACAAAGAAGACCTGTTCTATCACGCTCTGGTTGACAGTGCGTATTGACGGAAGCCTTAGCAGAATCTTACCTAGGCGACTGGGCTGCGTCGGGTACTGGCTCCTGACGTAATCTTCCAAAGCACACTGACTCTTCTCTTGCAGACTTTCAATATATGCTGGATCGGACAGGCCTGGTGCATCTGTGAAAAAAGGGAAGATTTTCAATATCAAGATTGTTTGAAGATCAACTGCGCTGCGACAACAACATGTCCCTAGAACTCAGGGCCTAGGATTCTTAGGATTGCAGCTGAGGGTAGATAAAAGAAAGTTTAGATAAATGGAGGTATTATACACCTTTCGTAACCATCGATTATGCCTTTAACCGACTGTGAAAGAACTCCCACTCCTGGACACAAGCCCATTAATCAATTTGATTAGTCTTTATGGAAGCTCAAGAGGGCAAGTGCCCTTTTTGACGAAAGGACTACTTGCTGCAACGAAATTTCTAGCTTCGAGCTTGGTGCAGTGCAATGTAAGAAAAAATATTTTGTTTTAAACAAATAAGAATTTGAGGTGTAGACTTGGTTGTTGAAGGACTTGATATTTTTCAGAAAAAGACAGTTCAGTTTTCCCACAGTTTTTGTTTCTCTTAGGAACAACTGTAAAGATTGTAAACTGAAAAAAGAGCCTGGAAACGAGTAGTTTTGGCGGGACTTTCACGATAGCGTGTGCACGTCATGCACGTGTTGAAACAAGATTATTAGAATGTTAAAAATCATGTTTGTAAAAAAGAAAAGAATGTTACATCATGTCAACGCAAAAATGAACAATCAGCAAGATGAAAAAGAACAATCAATACCACAATCTGAGATATGCATCGCCCCAAGGTATTTTCAGTTTAGATAAAAAAGTTACTGTAACTAAAGAAATTGCGGCCTAAAATAAAATTTGCGACGCCAAGAATTCAAATGATATTTGGAGAAAAAAAAGAAAAATACTTGGCCGAAATCAATCAAGAATCAAGAAAGCGGCATGCAGAATGTTTCAGGATTCTCCTCATCACTTCGTCATATTTGGAACTACTTAGCAGTAAGTCATGGCGTTTAAATTTTTTTTCCTGTGTAAACTCTACTTTGTCTTCAAATTTTGTGTAATGTAAACCTCTTTAAACATAATTGAATGAAGTGAATTTATTAATCTTCCAATGCCAAAAAACAACCAACGAGCAGTGGCGGAAATCGAGCTTTTTTGGTGGTGGGGTGGTGGGTTTTGGAGCTTTTTCCAGAGTTTCTTGTAAAGCGGCTTTTTCCGTTCTATCTCCTATTCAATAAAATCCGATTCGGATGTAGATTTTCCGAGTTATGTCGAGTTGGGGCTGTTGATCCTTTCCAAACCCCAATAATATTCGCTACAGTCCTCAGAATCAGGCCCTAAACGATAGACCTAAAAGCTTTTCTTAGATGTAAACCTTGAAAGTTGTTGTTCAAAGTACTACCTGGGAGCTTCACATAATGAGCTTTGTCAGATCAGCGTGTTTCTGTCAAATGTGACTAGTTTTGTTACCATTGTAGTACTAAACTTATGTTTAAAAGCCACTGAAACCTCTGTCAAGAAATTTCTGGATGTCGTTCAAAGACAACATTGCGAACTATCCAACAGCAGCTGTCCCAAAAAGGTGATCTCATTTATTGCTCCTCTCTTGTACAGTTCTGGAAAGCTGTTATAATAACCTGACATAGTTCAAGGAAATATGATATGTCAGGTCAAGAGTTTGAATTGCAAGCAAGGAGGGAAATTGAAGTAGTTTTAGCGGCTGTTTTGCTTGATAATTTCACCTTTATCTGGAAATGCTCACTTCTGACCAAAAGAAACAGAACTGTTGTCCCAACTTGACTTTAGAGATGACTTTTCTATTGTAAAATTTGTTTTCTAAAGCAAAACATGGGTTAGAACTCCAGTAAGGATTGTGTTTCACCCACAAGAATCGTACATCTTAAAAGATAACAATAACTGATAGGTTTTTCTCCTTGCAGATAACAAATTAAACTGAACTGTGCAAGAGACATAGCTCTGTTAAAATAATTATTGATAAAATAATTCCAGACAGTATGTTCTATTCTTGGAAAATTTTGTTTAAATAGCTTTGAACCTAAGCATCAAACAAATTTCAGTTGAAAGAAACCCATTTGTTAGTTTTCACATAATAAAGGAGCTGAAGTCTATAGAAATCCTTAAGACAAAAATGAACAATAATTTGACCTGAAATAGAATTTGAAGAAATCACTTTATGCATATCTGTCAAGTTTATGCTCCAAAATGAAAAGAGAATTAGGTTTTTACCTAATTAGTTCTATTGCTTCTACTAAACTTTCTGTTACTTGTTGCTTCTTGAAAGGGTGAGACTCACTCAAAATGCACGAACAGGCCCATTGGAACTGGCTGGAGCCCCCCAATAATTGTCAAACCGTAGTTTGTTTCCTTTACAACAGTGTACTGAATGAGAAGGAATACAATGGGCAGCCCCCCCCCCCCCAATATGAATTTTGTTCCAACAGCATTGAAGAGACTTCGTCAAGCCATAAATTTTATAACAACAAACCAGGCAGTAAGATTGCCACAGTCAGAGAATTGATCATCATCTCTGATTGTTTGTTAGATGTTTGCAAACAGTACAACCTATTACTCTACCCTCTTTCACTTAAAGGCAATCTGTCATGACGTTGATTGATTATAAGAACAAAGGGATTTTTTATTGTTTCCAGTCCCCCTTTAATTTATCGCATTCTAAAAAATATGGCGGAACGCTGGAATTGTGTTTAGACTATTGTTCCAGCTATTTTTCTCATTAACCAATCCACAACGAGACAGATTGCCTTTAAAACTTGAGATAATGGATTTTTAAATCAGACTTGCCAACATTGAACTATGAGAAGGGTACAGTTTGTTCAGCACCATACAAACATCAAGATCTGGTCACAGAATAGAAATGATGTGATATTTCTATTCTGTGATCTAGTAGACATTTTGGTAGAAATCAATGAGAACAAAAAAATGTACTTCTGATACTGAAAGATATATTCTAGGACTTTGAGCCAACAAAAGCAAAGCATAAAAAATCCATTATGTGTCATATCCAAAAAGCTAGCACCTGGGGGAAAATCAAATGACATGCAATAATTTCTAAAGGAAAATCAAAAGCAACCTATATGAATGAGTTTAACACAACATTTTTAAAATTGACCTCCCAAACAATTTTAGCAGTGCTATAATCCTGGAATCGGTATGGTCTGAAGGAAATTTATATTGGGGTAGGGGTTACCAATTCAGTTGTTTCCCATACAGCTCTCTGCAAGATGGGAAATAAAGACAGTTTGTCAATAAAAGGGGGTGATATCAGAACTATTAAGAACCTTTTCTTAAGAAATTACTTTTGATGTGTTTTGCTAAGAAGTAAATCAAATCCCAGAGAATAAATTTGCATTTTAGTTCATAGAATCTGAAAATTATTTAAAATACAAATTTAATCTGATGATCTTCAAGAAAGCCTATGCATAATTAGAATTTTTGTTTTGATTCTAATATAAAGCCTTTTCTTTTCAAAAAACAAGCAGCATCAAAAATTCTTTATTATTATAAACTTGACAGTAAATAATGAATTAGCATGATAATCTTAAAGCTTTCTGCTCTAGATAATAAAAATTCCTTTACCTGAAAGCCAACTTATTCACAAAATTGGCTTCAAAAATGGCCAATAAAATAATGAACAATAAAAAACAGGGGATTGATGACTTCCCAATTGCAAGATTTTTGCTTCTTTTATTCCAATACCATTTACAGAATATTCCCCAGGTTATTGTGTTTAATATCACAAATTGATTTATTTTATTGGTTTTTTGGGTTCAAGCATGTTCTGACTGGTCCCTATTGAAACAGGATCTTGAAACCTAACGATATTGTGGCTTAAACTTTCTTAGCCAGCATCTAAAACCATCAACCTATAACCTACACCATGTTCAGTTAAATTTAAGTTACTAATATGTGAAAGTTAATGTTGAAGATGGAGGCAAAAAACTGTATCAAGTGCCAACCTGAATCCATTATTTCAAAAATTCTTACTGCAGTCAAGATATGTTCATTTTGAAGATGCAAATTGTTGGCATTTTAAAATCACAAACATGGCTAATTCATTTAAATAAATCAATTAATTTTTATAAACTTAATGAGTTTTACAAGCCCTTTATTTCCTTGAAATTATGTAGTAGTGATCAGCTTGTAAAGAATTATGTTGCAAAATATATTTCTAACACAAGAGTGAAGTCATTAAATTATGTTATTTCCTCCGTAACAGTTTTCTTTCCAAAAAGCCCTTTCACCGTGACACAAAGTGAATTCTAGAGGGGAAAATCCAGAGGAAAGATTATTTATCAGGAAAAATTGCTCTGTTCGAGGGGAGTTCTTTATCAAAAGAGAGCCACTTTGGAATTTGTTTAAAATCCTAGGATATTTAATCTTGGCTGTTGGTCATGGTTAACCAGAAACGGTATTTATGTATTTGCAATGACATTAATGAGCTTGAAATTTTTCAGCACAAGTACTTACTTACCCGGCGTGAAAAGAACTATTGCTTTTAAACAAGCATATTCTGCTGGGTCGACGTGCATATTCTTGAGTTTGTCCATTTGATCTTGAAGAATCCTGACATGATCCATGAATGATATAATGCGATCATTGATTGGGGTGCTGTGGACCCCTCCAGCAGCTAGCAAATGGGCAACTTGTATCGGCATCGGGCACTGAGCGGCATTCAGTATAAACAACTCTTTCCAACTGAGTCTTAGCAGGGCTACCTGGTCAGAGACACCCATGTCGGGGAAAAAGGGAATGCTTCTAGCCCACTCAACAGCGGAAAATAGCAAACGAGCAGCCAGCTCACAGACATTATCGATGCCCATAACATAGCTTGGTAGGCTAACTGAGTTCTGAATGCTCCTCGTTGTTGGGTAAGGCTCGGCTCTCATCAGCATCGAAACGAACCCTGATAATGAAGGGTAGCCATTGACAACACCCCCATTTACCAAGCTGACTGGAACCAGGGGCTGTGCCGGGGATGACGATAACCTTCCGCGCTGGACTGCTGTCGGAATAACAATAAAAAGAATATAATTGAAAGTACATTTACATAATAAAAATAACGACAGGTCTATAAACACCGAAGAAAAGAACACAAGACGTGTGAATAACAGGCTAATAAACACATCATTGCTTCAGGCCTCTAAAGTGAACAGCGTGGCCAAGAAGTTGAAATAGGATACTAGGCAGAAATGGCTGTTGTGAATCCCAGTTTGCTCGACTTCCTGCAGGCTCAAATAAACTCTTTTCAAATAAAAATCGGTCAATTAAAGCCCAAGTTTCATCATACAGCTACAATAAAACCTATTCTACCATAAACAAGTCCGTTGTTGAACATGATTGCAAGCAATGACTTCCTCTTGTCGCTCTTGACAAAGTATGCTAAGACTGTCTTCGATGACTGGCGTTTAGGGAAAAGCCAGACAGATTTCCAGACAATCGTATTGTCAGTCAGAGTGGCACTGCTGATTGATTTTGATATACAAATGTTGGAAAATTCGCAAAATCGAAAACTGTAATGCGAAATCAGCCCTGTCTATTCCTTTCGTAAACATTTACACGAGAGTTCATTTACTGCCTGGTTGCGTTAGGCCAGCGCGACTACTCAACTGGAAGGTATGCAGGTAAACCTAGGGCCTACCGATCTAGACGTCTGGATCGTCTCATGGGAATTCAAATGCCAGAAAAGCAACTTACCATCTTTCCGCATCCCCTCCTTGAGACATTTTTTTAACCTGCAGAATTGACATTGGTTTCTGTGATGCTGGTCGATGGGGCAATTTCGCGATGCCCGACATGTGTAAGTTAGGTTTCGTCGCACGCTCCGTTTAAAGAAGCTTTTGCAGCCTTCACATGTAAATACACCGTAATGCTTTCCTGACGACTTATCTCCGCAAACTGCACAATGAATCTGCTGGTTTTCACTTTTTATTTCGTCCTCGTTGACCCCATTTTCCCGCCACACAGGCACGTCGTTCGGCATCTCCTGTAACATTGAGCATCGACTAACTGATATTATTGCGCATAATATGAACTTTTTACAATGTTATAATCGACAGATTAAGATAGGAAAATAGCGGAATTTGCGAGAAAATGCCTTGAAATTAAAACATGTCTTTATCTGACCTGCACTGGAGACTCTTGTTTGGCTTGGCTCTCCATTTTCGCCGGGTTTGTTTCCGTGACCTCTGGGGCATATGCCTTTAATGTACAGTCAACATGGAAACCTGGACACAGCTCCGAAGGCCGACAGCAATTAGGCAAGCGTGACACTGTCTGAAACGTCTGAACTTTGACATGATAAGAGGAACAAATGTCGGGTTGCCATAACAACCTCTGCCATATATGGTGATCGGTGTCAATAAAGTTCAAGGGTTTTATTCACAGGTGATTATGAATTCTATTGATGGGCTGGACGGAGCGAGGCTATCTTCGGTGAGCAACCGGTTTAGTTAAGCTTCGAGGCTCTTTTTGGATAGATCACCAATTGGATTTGCGTGTAATCAGAATAAATGATGTCGTATTCTCGGGTTAGATGATGTGGCGGCCAGCAGTGGCCTTTTCAAAACATAACCAACAAAACGTAAGATTTTGACTGGACAAGTGCTGACGCGGCTTTAACGTTCGTCAAATTAACGCGGATCTGTTGGGTAATTAGAACCGCTTCTCGTCGTCTGCATTCGCGCGCGAGGTTAATCACTCCTGCATATGCATAACGGAAGCTCTACTGCGGGCCAAGTTTCAATGCATTTTCATTGTTACAGGCAGCGCAGGGCCCCTTTTAACATACAAACTAGGGGGGCAATTGCCCCTCCAGCCCAAGTGACTTTCCATTCTTTTAAACAATAGTCCATTGTCCTCCTCTTTATATAAACAAAGGGTTGCCCCTGGAGCTAATTTCCCTTAGAATAGGCTATGAGGCAGGGGTGGCGCAAGGGGGTTGCTCTAGGCCCAGTTAATCCGGAAGTGTTTCAAAGGTGGACGCAAATAGGTAGGGAGGGACAGTAAAGGACGTTTTCCAAAAGCTTTAATGACATTTGAAAATTGGAGAGATCCCAAAATTTGGGCAAATGTACAACTCCACAAACCTGAGATGGAGAAGATAGTCTAGCACTCCTCCCCTCAGGCTAATTCAAACATCTTTTAACTATAAACTCGTTGTAAAATTTAAAAAAAAAATTAACCTTCAATTTCATTTCTTTCTTTATCAACTAATTGTTTTCTGCATTTAATTATTAATTATTCTTTCCTAATTTTCTATTCTAAATTTTTGTAAAGTAGGCCTAAATTAGCTTGTACGTGAATTGTACGTAGACAGCTATATCATACCAGCCTACTGTAAATACATTGATTATTATTATTATTATAGTTGAATCAGTCGGCTCCTTGGTCGAAAAATCGAGGAACATATCCAAAATCGTTTTTCAGTAATCAAGGTGTTTAGAAGCTGCTAGGGCTAGAGCAGAGCAATAAAAATTTGGGGGTGCTGCTGAAACAACTTTATGCTCTATTGGCTGTTGGCCTTTCTGCGATCATGAAGACATATTTTCCATTGTGGCTATTTGAGTAAGTAAACCAAGAAATAAGGGGGCTACATCAAAAGGCCATATGCATTTAACAGTACTCACTTAATAACTGGCATATGAAAAGAAATACCGAAAACAAAACAATTATCGATTGTTTTTTCAGTATAATTGTGGTGGATGATAAACTTACAAACAATCAATACAAAGAACACATCGCATTAAATGCACTTGTACTGGAGTTTGCTGTCACAATCATTTTTACAAAATCGCCTTTTTTCTGCTTTCACAACCTAATATTTAATCCATCTCACTTGTTGTTGCATTTGGTTGTTATTGAAAAGATCTTATTCTTGATGTAAATTTTCCAATAAGCTTTCGGAGCAGCTCTTTTTTGAAATCTTTTAGACAACGTTTTCTTGCATTTGGCTCAGAGTCCAGAAAAATTGTTGACCTTCCTCTGGCCAAGAAAATCTTACTATTAGATCTTCCCAATATCTTGCTAATATTTAATGGCTTTAAAATGGGCGTGGTTAGGAAATTGAGGGTACACAACTACTCTTGATCCCCTCTCTTTGCAAATCTGTTTTTCCTAAACGCTTATAAAAAAAATTGTAGCTTGTTTTCAGTTATTTTAAAGATATTTCTTAGACAGGTATAAAGTTACACGCTTCTTTCAATTAATAGTAAAAACTTTTCATAATTTTTTTCAAAACTAATTAAGAGTTCATGCCAAAATTTTACAGTGCATAGCAGTTCTGCAAACGTTGTAAATTGACGACCAAAAGAAAATACGATTTCTTTAACTTCCTTAAGTTTCCAATTTTTCGATCACCTTCCTGAGTTTCTTCTTATTTCCACAACCTTCCTCTGGGGCCGTGATGTTTTCCTGACTCTCATTTGGCTATGCAGAATCCATGCATTTGCAATGGCTTGCTTGAAGTGCTCTAGAAGAATTGGCATCCACTACATGTATGACTTTCTGGATAAATTAGGATCATAGGATCCTGAAAAGGTTAATTGTAATTGCAAGACCATTTATGCATCACAACTTCAACTGATTTTCTTATTAAGTTCCTCTCTCTATGGTTTCTGTTAAAGAGACCAAATCTATCCCAAATAGATTTTACTTCAGTTTTCGAGGTCATATTCAGCCATCCCCCTCTCCCCATGAAAACAATATTTGCTAGCCAAAACAAATACTGTAGCAGATGACAAAATGTTTCCAACTAAATGTTTCTTTGAGTAACTTTGTATGGTATTTGCCAAGATTTTCAAACTATTTTTGTAGGAAGAGGCAGAAGAAGCTGTAGTAGAGGAAGCTCTCTGTTTCTCTCAAAAACCTAATGATAAAAAGGAATACACTAAAACAAGAAACAGAGAAATCACCTGAAAAAAGGATCTGCTTAAAAGAGATTGCGTAATCAAGTAACAAGAAAGATGCGCAGCGCAATTACAGATTATTATCATGGCCTAATCAATGAAAATGTAGGAAATCCAAAGAAAATGTGGAATACCATGAACAAAGTACTTGACAAAAATCAGCATTCAGTTAAACTTTCCAGTGTCTAAGTGGGTGGTAAATATCTTAATCGAGAGAAGGATACTAAACAAGCATTCTGTTTCAGTTGGTCCAAATTTGGCCGACAAAATTATTTCTAAGCCAGGTGACGATTGTCTTCAGAATATCAAACCAGTACAAAAAGAAATGGAATTAAAAACAATCGATGATGCTTTTATACTGAATGCAATCAAACAGCTAAAAAATGGAAAAGCAGTCGGTGCAGACACGGTCCCCATAACTGTTGTCAAAGATACGGCAGACCTTTTGTCAAGGCCTTTGTTGATGAGCCTTTGTCGATGATTATCAATTCATCTTAAATCAACGGTAAATTCCCAGACATTTGGAGACATGCAAGAGTAAGTCCTATATTTAAAACGAGTTCCAAAAAAGGTGTAAACAATTATAAGCCAATTTCAGTTATTTCAAATTTTCCTAGGATTATGGAGGGGATAGTTCACAATAAGTAATTTGACTTCCTTCTTGAAAATAATGTTATCACCAAGAATCAGTCGGCTTTTCGTAAACTGTACTCAACAATAACATCTTTAATATGCAGTACCGGTCAGGGGCGGATCCGGAGCAAAGTTGAAGGAGGGACAGTTGGTAGTGGGGGCGATGAAAAATTTTCAAAAATTGGTTACGAGAGTACGCTGTATACAACAATTTCAGATACCTTTGCAGAATAAGCAACATAACTTTGAGGTAATCCTTGAAGCAAATTAACCTATCGGTCCAAGAACCTTCTGATTCTCATTCTTCAAAAGGGGCGCACAATTTCCAAAAAGGGGCGTCAGACTGGCTTCAACTCGTTGAGGGAGGGGCAACTGCCCCTAGCTGCCCCCCCCCTTAAATCCGCCACTGGTACCGATTACTGGAATGAAAATATCGATTCCGAAAAATTGAACTGGACTATCTTTCTTGACCTAAGAAAAGCAATTGATACTGTTGACCACCCAATGATGTTAAAAAATTTGGTAGATACGGTATAAGAAACACAGCTGGGAATTGGTTTCAATCCTACTTAGATCAGTGGGAGCAATTTTGTTCAGTCAACGGTCGGTGACCAATGACAAGTGAGGTAATTTGTGGTATACCTCAAGGCTCTTGCTTGGGCCCTCTCCTTTTTATAGTACACCTGAATGACCTTGAGCAATGTTTGAAATATTCACAAGCTAGTATCTATGCTGATGATACAAATGTTACGATCGTATTGAATGATTTTGAAGAGCTTGTCTTGGAGGCACAGCAGGAATTACTAAACCTCTCGGAGTGGACTGAATATATGATAATAGGCCATTCTCGTAAAGTAAATATCTCGAGTGCACTCAAGCTCAACGGCGCTGATATTAAAGACTCATTGCTAACAATGAGCCATTGCGCTACGCAAGCATCCCATAATGCATTTTCAGACAGTCTGAAATCAATTATGGTTAATCCGTAGAAGTTTACTGCCATTGCTTGGATTGTCGCCTGGATAATTTGCCACCCTCGCAAAGGCTCATTGCTAGCAATGAGTCTTTAAGCGTGTCACGAAGACTAAATCTCTAGGAGCAATTGTAGATGAAAACCTAAAGTGGAATGAGCAATACAAAGTTATAAAAAGAAAAGTTTATGGAGGACTTAGGTCACTACAAATGTTAAAAATATAATTCCGCAAAAAGAACTTTGCAGCGTCTACTACGCCACTGTTGAAAGTCACCTACGGTATGCTAACGCTATTTGGGGCAGCCTCCAAAAAAACTAAACTTGACCTACCTTTCAACGTCTGCAGGACCACGCTCGATCAATAATTGAAAGCGCCAAATTAAAGGAAAACTGAACATGTAACTGGTTGAGCGTTGAAAATCTCATTCGATTCGATCGATCGGTCATGCCGTATAAGATTATGAAGAAATTGAGCCCAAAAAGCTTTTGGGATAAGTTTCAGCAAATATTCTCGCAATCAAACTATGCAACAAGGTACTGTATGGATCTGAATATTCCTAGAACAAATACAGAGCATTTGAGAAAAGTTTTAACTACTCTGCTCTTAAAGCCTGGAACGACGTTCCAATCGATATTAGAGAACTCCCGACTATTTGTCGCTTTAAAAAACAACTAAAGGAGCACTTGAAGAGCTGATAGATTCGTCTATTTAAACACGACCCCCTGGAAGAACAGCATTTTAGATTGAAATTATATCTTTTTTAATTGAACAAATGTATATATAC